AAAATGAAATATTCAAAAAATATATATTTCAATCAAATAACAATGCGAAAATATTGTAAACGATCACTTAAATACTCTTCTTGCGGTCTTTGAGACAAAATATTAATCAATTTTGAATAGTCGAGTTATTCAACCATTTCTTTTTCAATAGATAACATGGTCAATCCATTCAATCTTTGTTGGGACAAAATTGATCGGAGATAAATCTTGATTAATTTCAAGTTGGAGAAACTTCTTTTTACTGATGCAACTGTAATCCGAATGGTATTTGACCTTTGATTGCTTTCCTAAATATTATATTCCACAAGTACAAAATCAAACCAAGACTATTGCTTCTATTCTACAATATGATTATAAGATATCTATGAAACTAAATTTGTGGGGAAAAAAAAAGTGTCCAAAACAATCTATTAACAGAAAAAAAAAATTAAAAAAATCAATGATTATCAATGTTTCTAACTTAGCTATAGTGTGAGAAGATTTTCTTCCATCATGATGAATTCGATTTCACATAAAATAAGAAATAAACTTTTTATCTGCAAAAATGAGTTAAATTTTACACTTTCTCAGTTTGCACAAGGCTCACAACCTTTAGAGAAATTTTTTTTATTGCAACAATAATAACGATATATTATCTAAAGTCATAAATATTTTCATAATGTAACAGTAAAATGGAAAAAATTAGATCACATCATATTTAACCATATATTACACTCAATTACCCCCATAGAAGGCACCAATTCATATTAATTCATAACAGATTATAGATCGAGAAAAGAAATTCAATTCTACACACAAATCAATGATCCGATCAACAGGATATTGAAAAAATGTAATTGGGTTTAGTCATTTAGCGACAAAACTATACAGTAAACAATTAAATATATAAAATCAATCAATCAATGCAATTAAAAAAAACTAGGATTAATAAACGATAAGATCAACAAAGATGTACGTAACGATGCACAAATATATATCGAGAGGGCGTTTGAAAATGGAATGAATATTCCTAATCGAAGCACTAATTATGTGATTTATGATATCATTGTTTGGAACAATCGAACAAGAGTGAACGAATATAAACGACAATAGATTTTTTAAATAAAGAATGAAGCAAAAAAAAAAAAAAAATTTGGGCCCCCTAGAGAGCGGGCCTGATGTAACAGCCTCTTGGGCCTCTCCTCAGGTCCGGCTATGTCAACAAGACTAAGAGGATACCGTTCTCTACATTCTTCTCCCCAGGCATTGTATATCTTCGAAATAAACCTTCTGATCTACAAAAAAACAAAAAAAAAATTGAAAGAGGAAAAATGATAAACAAAGACACTTGTAGTTGGTACACATAAAAAAAAATAAAAATAAATAGACAGGTACTATTTCCTGGTATATCATGTAGGAAAATATGATAACTAGTGAACTAATACAGACCAACGCCGAATTTGTTAATCTGAATTATTGATTTTAGAAATAGAATTACAACAAAACAAAACAATAATATAAAGTAAAAAAAAAATGAACTTTTAACTAAAGACCTGTGTTACACACANAAGAGAATACAAATCAATTTTCATCTTCTAATATAGTCAAACGGGTCCCGCTTATAATTCGTGTCAAAGTCACCCACTAACTTAGTTTTTTCCAACATATCAATAGTATGAGAAATAGCATAAATTATAAATAATATTCTTGTAATCCAAATGATGTATTTGCCATCCAATAATAATGCTTGAAGAGTAAATAACAAAAGGTAGACATATAAAGCACCCTCGTTCAAACAGGAATTCTGTTATTCCTTCAGACTTTCGGACAAAATACACGGCAGCGGAAATATTCAACTTGAGAAGAAAAAAGTAAATCATGTGAGACTGTGAGTCTTTATTTATTATCAAACATATTCTATTCACCATGGAATCAAAAAAGAAGATTTTTTCTTGCTAAAGTGAGAACAAAGTTTAAAGAAAGGAACTTTGCTATGCGTATGTATCCTAAATAAAAGCAAATTAGTATACTCATATATTCAGCTAAATGTGCTTGAAAGTTTTAAAAAACGAATGTATTGTGACTTGTAAAAATAGCATAATCTCAACATATTCATAAAAAGCAAGTATTATATAAAACCTGCAAGTTCTAATTAACGGGAAAACGCTTTCTTTACAAAGCAAAAGCGGGTTTCCGTGCAAGTGGGCTGGGAGAGGTAGTGAATGAAGAATGGAGTGAAGAAACAAATTAGGTGTTGGAAATATGTAATAAAATC